CCATTGTGGCTATTAATAGCGACTTTGTTGATGACAATTAGGCCTCTCTCTCCCTCTGTATTCGTTTTAGCTGCCAATTGCAGGTCCGCCCACTCGACTGTATTAGAGAATTTGATCGCGTGTAATCTGAAATCACGCGACCATAATCTACAGTTAGCCATTATCCTTGAGCAGTTCGTGTCTGGTTGGGTACCTTATTGCTACGCCAGTGTCCTCCTCAGAGTATGTCGATCGTAAATACGCCACTCTTCCGCTTCATAGTGTTGGTCTAACTATTTCCCACTAAGTCAGAATAGGACCTATTCGTGTTCGAGGCACTTTATTTCGTAGCGAATGACGGTCGGTCCAACACGATCCTGCGTTTAGGTAGGCTAGAAGGTCGAGGCACCGAGTTGGAACTTTTCGCGCTGCACATTGACTCCCAGGACCAAAAGATCCAACTCTAAAGCTGTTTTCTTTTTTGTGATTGCGTCAGCGTGCCAGATCGAAAGCGTCGGAACCACCGGCTTCTGAGAACCGTTTGGGACTGAATGAAACCAGGACGGACTAGCCAAACCGACTAGGTCAAAGGAAAGCTTGCTGCAGAGGCAACTTGGCTAAATAACCCAGTGAAATCCAGCTTTTCCGGGGTCAACAATTATTCCACCCTCCCCTCCTTTGGCATGGTACCAAATTCTAGTTGTGGTAGAACATATCCCTGAGGTTTTTTTCAAGATTGTTCGATGGCGCGCTGGCATCTCAAATGTGGGATTATCGCGCTTTTTGTGAGATTTGTGCAAAAGTGCACGTCACTCGCAGGACCCCAAAGCCTGGTAAAAAATGCAATCGTCGCAAGTGAAGAAATCTACCGCCTGTATCACGGAGGGAGATTAGCAGTGGTAACATGCACGTGCCTCAGTTTGTAATGAGGCCGACTTGCACCGCATCTGCCGCACCGTCCCTTGCCGCTGTTACTCGTCAGGCTATGATGGCACCGGTAAAATGCCTGACAAAGCTACCTAGTCTGTCTACGCGTGCCACACACGTGCTCTGTTTCCCTCCCTCGGATCTGGTGCAGTGGGAGTGCCATGAAGGTCACAGTAGGAAAAATAAAATTTTCCATAATACTTCCATGACGACCGAGTTATCTTATAGGCTGACAGCCCTCCAAGTCGAAACTGATAGCCGACTGTAATCGTTTCGAGCGTTTCAGATGCAGCAGGATGTAACGTACTGTTTTAATGTGCCAAGGGGATAGATTCCGCAGTCTCGGCTCCCACCCTAGTCATCTGGAAGTCACCACAACATCTACAAATACGGGCTAGCTACAAAGAAGCTGTCGATTACTGGAAGGGCATGGAGGTGCAATCAACTTGGGCTTTGTTAGGAGGGCCCAACACGCGAATCCTAACTCGGGCTGTCCTGAGGGCACTAGAACAAAGAAATCGGACAGGCCACCGATGCATGCAGAGCGGGCAAATAGAGCAACCTTGAAAGGCCAACACACGAGCACACAAGGATAGCCCCGGGCCGGGGTCTGCCATCCGTGAGATCATACATGGCCAGGGTCAAAGCGCGCGTGCCAAGCGTCGCCTGAGTTCACGATGGCTGCCTGTAGAGGCCACTCGTGGAGGGCCAATAGGGAACAATGACAACTGGCCCTTAAATAGCGAGGCTGCGAGTAGAAGGACACTCTGCTGCTGGGACACGACACTTTGTTGCCGAGACGCGCTACCGACGACCCGAAATTCTGCTGCTGGAGACTCAGGACTCTGTTTGCCGAGACCGGCGACAGAACAAACGCTGTTGACGGACACGCAAAAGACAGAGCCTATTTACAAGCAGATACAGTGACAGTAAACTATTATCTGCTATCCTGTTATGCCTTCTCTTCCTAACACGCAATTGGGGGACATAACCAGTGTTGACACAGGAACACACAAGGTTATAACAGGTCTGATAATCAATGTCTCTATTATCTATCATTTACCCAGGCTTACTATTTTATACTTTTATTCTAGAACTCTCGCGAATCCATGGGCGGCATTGACACAAGGCAAGTGCACACTTTGTTCTGGCTGCTACCCTCTCTCATTTCCCCATATTTTGACGTATTTTGCTCTTGTTCTTACAAATCAATCGAATTTGCCTTTATGCGCTCCATACACACACCGGAAGCGAGCAGGCCTTTGTGCTGTTTTTGTAAAACTTATGCTAGATAACATCTCCTTCATCCACTGCATTCGTGACTGACCAACGTTCCCTCTCTCCGCCATGCCAGTCAGTACTCACCACCAGCTCACGTGAAGCACTTCGGTAGTGTTATTACCCGCGTCTGGTACTTTTACTTAACACGAACGCCGAACCAAAGAACCCGTTAGAGTGAGGCAGGGAGAAGACCAGCCGGCCAAAGAGAG